CACAGGGACCGCGGTTCAATCCCCCAGCACCACATGCCAGCCAGCCCCGCCCCCTGGTGGGCTGAGCTGGCCACACACACACACACACAAATAAAATTTTAAAAAATAATAAAATAAAAACTTCTGTAGGGCCAGGGAGATGGCTCAGTGGAAAAAGCTCTTCCCTGGCAAGCACAAGAGCCTGAGTTCAATCCCTGGTTCTGCCACCAAAAAAAAAAAAAAAAAAAAACTTCTGTAATCAAGGCTTTAACATTGCACAGATTTCTCAAATAAAATGGAAACACAAATCCATAAATCACCATAAAGTACATGTAATACCCAAGAGGAAAACAAAACAGCAAGCTTACACAATCCCCTGAAAGCCACGGTCCGCTTCTCAGATGCTTCTTCCACCTGTCCGGTGTGTTCTGCTGGAAACAGCACACTGCGGCTCCTCGGGTCAGACTCGGCTGGTCTGCAGCCCGGAGCCTCACAGGCAGAGCTGTGGTCCCACTCGAGAGGCAAGGCAGTCATCAGCACATTCGAACAGTATTGAACATCCTTTAAATATCAAAGTGAGAAAAGAGAAGGCAACATAATCGTATTATCAGAAAGACATCAGGCAGGAAGGACAGCTGTGTATAGCTTGAGGTTGAAAGGCGGCTTGCCAGCTTCATTTGTTTGGTTTCTTGGGTAGCGCTCGTCGAAACAGCAAGATACGAGGTTCTGGCTCATGGATCATATAATGGACCCATCCTTGACTTTGCTGAACACCAAGATTCCTCCATTCAGATTTAGGCATCATGGGGGCCTGGCCCTAGCTCAGATTCAGGCATCAAGTGGGGTTTAGGAACCAGCTTGGCTATGTCCTTGGGCAACATGACATGCCTGCATTCAAACTCTTCATCGTCGTATTTGTCAGAGTAATAAATTTGCTTATGTGACATGTTCGCTCAGCCGCAGGCCTTTAGCCCCACAACGCCAGCCTCCAAACCACTCCTAGCAACATGCCTCTGCTTTTAACATTTTTTATTGTGAGTTCAATCCCTGGTTCTGCCAAAACTAAATAAAATTAAAATAAAAATTTTATTGGTGACAGTGGCTCACTCAATTGCCCAAGATGGGCTCAAATGTGTGGTCCTCCTGCCTCCTTCAACCTGAGTGCTGGGATTGCAGGTGTGTGCGACTACACCTGGCTCAGAGATTAAACTCTTGACCCTGTGCTTGCCAGACAGGCCCCTATGCTGCTGAGCTATCTCCCCGGCCCCTAGAAGGAGCATATTTCATATAGTAAAGTGATATGAAGCTGAAATCTAAGTGTCCAGAAGTCAAATTTTATTGGAATCCTGCCATGCAGGTTCATTTATGTGTGGGCTATGGATGCTTTTCTGCACCTGAGGGCCAAGACAAGCAATTGCAATGCAAAGGGCAAACACTTCCTGCAAAGATTAGCACGTTCCTCGCTACATGCTGTCTGCGTATTGAGGAAACTCCCTGAACCCCATATGTACATACAGGGGTTTTTTGTTTACTTTAGTTCTGGTTTTGGTTTTTGGAGTGAGGGACTCGCTTTGTAATTCAGGCTAGCCTCAGATTCCCAGAGATCCTCCTGCCTCAGCCTCTTGAGTGCTAGGATTACAGTTGTGAGCCGCCATTCCCAGATCAGTATGCTTTAACTTTTTTTTTTTTTTTTTAATTTTATTTTTTATTTGTGTGTGTGGCCAGCTCAGCCCACCAGGGGGCGGGGCTGGCTGGCATGTGGTCAGTTGCCTTGTTTGTTTTTGGTCTTACCGTATTTTTTTTTTTTTTTTTTTTGGTTGAACTGTTTTTTAGGGGAGGTTTATGTTTTGTTTTTGGTGCCAAGGACCGAACCCAGGGCTTCCAGCTTGCTAGGCAAGCATTCTACCACTGAGCCAAATCCCCAGCCCCTGGCTGGCATGTGGTGCTGGGGGATTGAACCGTGGTCCCTGTGTTTTGCTAAGCTTGTTCTAAGGAGGTGCTTTAGACCACTGAGCCATCTCACCAACCCCGAGTATGCTTTAACTTTTATGTGGTAGTCAAAAATTGCCTCAGCCACTGGGGGTTGGGGACATGGTTCAGCAGAATAAACTCTTGGGCCTGAGTTCAGTCCCCGGTTCCACCAAAAAAAATTGCCTCAACCAGACATAGTGGCACATGCCTATAAATCTAACATTTGGGGGCTGAGGAGACAGGTTGGCGGTCTGCCTGGCAAGTGCAAGGACCCGGGTTCCATTCCCAGCACTGGGGAGGCTGAAAACAGGATCACTACTAGTCTGAGCTGCGTAGTGACACCCCGTAAGAAATAAAAGATTTTCAAAATCTAGCATGTTGGAGACTGAGGCAAGAGGATAATAAATTCTAGACTAGCCTGTACTACATGGTGAGCCCCTGTCTGACGGGGAAAAAAAATGCTGTGTGGTGGTACCTGACCCCAGTAATCCCGCTGCCCTGCTGGCTGAGGTCGCATTGCTTGAGCCCAGCAGTTCAGGGCCAGCCTGTGTAACACAGAAACAGGAACTCATTAATTAGTTTTAAAAAGGTCTAGGGAGATAGAAACATTAACTTTCCCGACTTACTCATTACACACTGTATACATCTATCAAATTTTCATATAGTAACCCTAAGTTTTGTACAGTTAAAGTCATAATTAAAAATAAAATTTAGGGGCCCGGGGAGATGGCTCAGCAGAATAAGCGCTTCCCTGGCAAGCACAAGGGTCTGAGTTCAATCCCCAGTTCTGCCAAAAATAAAAAATAAAATTTAATTAACTGATTAATTCTCGTGGTCCTGGAGATGGAACCTAGAGCCTTAGAGCTGAGCTACAACCCCAGCCTTTTATTTTGAAACAAGGCCTCACTAAGGTGCCTGAGTCTAGGCTCCACCTTGGAATACTCCTGCCTCAGCCTTCCAGAATGTTGTTGAAAAAATCAAATTTTTAAACTATAAAAAGGGGGGCTGGTGAGATGGCTCAGTGGTCTAAAGCACCTACTTAGAACAAGCTGAGCAAAAGCACAGGGACCGAGGTTCAATCCCCAGCCCCGCATGCCAGCCAGCCCCGCCCCCTGGTGGGCTGAGCTGGCCACACACACACAAAATAAAATATATATAAAAAAAAAAAAAAAACTATAAAAAGATGAAAGTATGTACTATCTAAAGCTTCACAGGGCTGGCCAAATAGCTCCGTAGATTAAAGAGCCTGCTTAGGCAGATGCAGGGGCTGGGAGCTTGATCCCCAGGCCAGCCCCACTCTTGGGGCACCCTGAGACAGCAATTGAGACTGGCATGGTGGCGTGCACCTGTAATCCCAGTTCTTGGGAGGCTGAAAACAGGCAGATCACTCCGAGTCCAAATCTAGTAGTGAGACCCTGAACACTCTGTAGACCCTTCCCTAAAAATACAAAAAATAAAAATAAAGTTTCACAGAAAATATTAGCCAAAACCCCTCAGTGAGGTTTGACTGATTATTACACTGACGTGAAAAGGGCCTTATTTACTTTTCTCTCCTTGCTGAGACAAAATAACAGACCCCAGGGCTGGGGAGATGGCTCAGTGGAATAAGCGCTTCCCTGGCAAGTGCAAGGGCCTGAGTTCAATCCCTGGTTCCACAAATAAATAACCGACCCCGAAGTTAAGGGGGGCAAGGCTTATTTAGCTCACAGTTGCTCGAGGTTCAGTTCATAATTAGCTGGCTCCAAGGCAGGGTGTCATGGTGAAGGCAGCCATCGAAGGTGGCAGGAGACAGCAAAAGCATCAAGAGCAGAACCGCGAGAGCAAGCCTCCTTTCCTTCCCACCTGGCGGCTGGGAGTAGCCCTCACCATCCCTGCCCTCTTGCACAGAGTGGACCCTGGCTCCCTACTGAGCAGCTTAGTTAACCTAAACTTCTCCGGTAGACACAGGAGCCGAGGGCAGATGGCCCACACCCCAGGGTGCAGAACTGCTGAATTAAGCTTCCGGACCCCCGGGGTGACACAAGGTGGCCACTATCACGTGGCCTTCGGTATTCATGTGCGCACCACTCCTGTCCCTGCTTCCTGTATGGCCTCCGCAGCCTCTGCTGCAGTCCTGGGAGCTGCCCTGCACTGGTCCCACCATGAGGTGCAGGCTTGGCCCTGGGTGCAGCTGGTAGGGCAGGGACTGGGGTTCACTGAGGAGGGGTCCTGGAGCCAGCCCTGGACCTGGTTTGGGGATGCAAGTCCATGAGTTGGCCCGCAGGGCTGGGGCCTGTCTTGTGCCCAAGTCTTGGCCTTCTCTCCCGCTGACATCCACCTCACTAGGACCCAAGAGCCAGACTCAAAAGCTGGGCAGGACAGTCCTCTCCTCCCTCAGGCTGGCTCCCTCAGGGGCCTGTGGGTCCTGGTGCCCTGGCCAGCGCCTGGCAGCAAGCAGCAGGCCAAGCTCACTGAGTCCCCGACATGTTCCACACTGTGGTCTCACGCCTTGTGCGTGCTGTTCTGAGTGGGTTCTCAGTCCGCAGGAGACCAGGTGTCACCCTGCATCGTCCAAACACCCAGCTGGTCCTGTGCTCAGCTCATGGGGGACTAGGGATGCGAGTGAACCCCAGCACCCTCTTACTCCCTGATGATAGTTCATTTCAGTCTGCCTGACAGGGCTTGGACACAGAGCTTTCGTTCTTT